TCACTTTCGAACTCAATGTAGAATATCCAGATCAACTGTATATCTGACGACATAAATAAAGAGAACAGAAGCATTTCTGCCCAAAAGAATGATCTTGTAAAACCAAAGTGCATGCGTGAGAATGAGATGATTTGGACCTCGGACTTACCATTGTGATAACATTGGTGCGCTCCTTTTCCCACGGATTTGGTGAACTGAAATGGTGGGAGAAAGAAGTGCCTACGATCTCGCCTTTAAACTAATGAAGATGTAACTGAGGTAGGAATAAATCCACATTCCACTATGGATGCATTCTTTTGTCTGAATTGGTGATTACCACTTCATACCTTGACGACATAGTGGAGTATTCTTTGAGATAGTTTAAAGAATCATATATGTAAAAAGGTTGGCGTGTAACAGCCATATGCAATGTCTATAAGTTTTTGTCAAATTACTAGAAATGTGGCACATTGAGATTGTTCTCATAGTAAAAGGAGAAGAGAGACAAGGTGGGGAGAATTCCAGGGGTTTTTGTGAAACTTTCATGTCTGTCTAATATGAAACATGAAGTATATTAACTATCTGACAATTGATGCCTCGGTCTTTTCATGCCCCTATAGACATGCAATAATTTTACCCCAGAGTCGGTGTTAAGTACCTTTTCCAGACTCAATTAGTCCTCCAGTTGTTCTTTTAGGGATACTATATTTTATCTTCTGTCCTACTGGATACCAAGACAAAAGCAAAAATTATCATCAAAGAATGCTGAGCTCAAGTTCTGAGTTCTGGTTGCCTTAATTGTAACAATCTCCATTCATTGTATTACATATAAAACTCCAACCTTGGATTACAAGAGAGCTCGAATAACTATCAAACTAAGATTTAAAAAATGACAACAGTAATCACCCCAAAATACTGATATTATATGTCCCAACGCATACCACAACGCAAAGGTGATTCGCTATTATATATTGAAGTGCTTGTATGGAGATCACTCTTACTTTAGTCCGACTCAAAGTGACCTTGCTTTATTGTCTTGTCCTTTGATGACCTGTTAATTTCCCTGATTGTGGTTAATTCTTCGTGTTAAGTATGATTCACTTTGAAGTGATCTTGATGAATCTAAGGTTTTTCAATTTAAGCGACACTTTCTTTGAAAACACAACCATTTCGTTATGGAACGCAAGGAGACACGTGTGACAGGAAAAATTGGTTTCTGATCGGCTGTTGAATTTGTGTGATGAGCTTAGATTTTATCATTTTTTGATGAACAAAGTTGAATCATTGGTTGATGATCATATACACCTTTCGAACTCTAAATATACTGACAGTGATAAAGTTCATCACACACCAATACCCTGTAATAAATGAATAAATAATGTATGTCACGTATTCAATTTTTGTTTAGAATATACAAAGAAAGCTCCAGCTCTTTGTGCATGATTGGACGCCAGTTCTTTGTTCGCGACGTCAGTATTTGTTTGCTGCATCCTTCCAAAGTTGGTAGCATTGTTACATACTTCACAACCTTCATTGTCACAAAAACGGAACTCAAATCAAGCAATGTTGACGAAATCCGAACAAGAGGATTTCAATAAGTGACTCAAGGAATGAATAAGTTCCTTGTGCTACGAAGTTGACGCACCGAGAGAGAAAGACACTTAAATCTTTCGCTGGCTCATGTTCATAATGACAGAAAAATGATTTATACTGGCCTCAAAGATAGTGGCAACGAACGATTGACGGGGTCGACCGATCGACGTTATTTATATTAACCAACGACCTGATAGTCGTAATCGCTAATCAACCTACTTTGGTTGATTAGCGATTATTTCATAACAAGATAAAGAACTCAGATGTCGATTGCTAGAATGCGCCCCAAAACCAAGAAAATTCATGGCCTAAATTCATTTCTGTACCTGCCATGCTCCTTATATTTTTTAGAGTAGAACTCAATCTCAGAGCTTATTATGACGAACTTATGATTCGTTGCTACTAATGCATTAATTTTGCTTGCTAATTACCACGTGTGTCCATAGGTAGACTCACAAAAGGACTTAGTATTTGGAACTCGCCACTCGGTCTCTGTCTAATCAGTCCTCACTTTTCTCCATACTTACTCTCCAAGGTCCAACTTAATTCACTCAAGCATTCAGTGAGTTCACACAACACACCTTTGACCAGAAATCTTACAGCAGATACTTCTGCTGACTTTATTTATCTCATCAGATATACAAAGGATTCTCTGATTCTACATTGAGTTCGAGGATAAATCCCCAAATTCTGCAAAAGTATACTTCTTCCGGTTTTCGTCATGAGACTTCTGTAAGAATATAAGCAGCAGAGTTTGGAGGTGTTCTCTCTCATTTGCAGTTGCAAGGGTTGCATGAGCACTTGTCACCGCACCTGCATCCTTCGTTGGCACCCTCAAAGCTGTATCAGAAAGAGAAAGATTACAATCAGATACTGTTCGACAGTCCCAGAATCCAAGAACGGTGATTTTATGAATGTAACGCCTTTAGTACATAAGTCACCATACATGTTTACAGTTTTAATCAAGCATAAATTGCAAATGTGTATGCAATATATAGAAACCGGCGGGATGATAAGTACCCTCTCATCTCCGAGTTGTTGAATTTGTCCGTGGACCTCATGGGGCAGCAGCTATCAAAGTCAGCAAACCGGAATTTAGAGAAGAATGAAAGACATGTTTGTCCCAAGTTCAGATGAATTATCTAAAACTCAAATGACATGAAATATTTATGGACTCTAGATGAGCATGCTACAATGTCGAATTCACGAACTTGTTCCAATCTTGCTTTTCACACAGGCTACGAACAAAAGCTTCTGCGAATGAATGATAATAATTGTACATCTACACTATCAAGAAATCTTTCCAACAACTGTAAGTTCAACTGACCTGTTGCCAGTGCTGCAGTTGCAGGCAGCGCCGCACGAACAAGCAGAGCTTCCGCAGCCAGACATCTTGAAATGCTTGAAATAAAAGAAAGGAACGCTTGGCTATACCACAGACAGCGAAAATGGAATGGAATGATAGAGATGTGAAAGTCAGGAGGTTCCAGAGCAAAGGGTTGTGCTGCTGAAGGATCCACAGGCGTCAGTCTCTTTATGTACTGACTGCCTCTACCCACACGAAATTCCACAGCAGGTGCTGAGAGAACAAATCACAGAGACTCCTACGCCTTTGCCGGTGCCTTGTGTAGTGGCTTCCTCGTACGGCCATCAAACAGGGTTTGTCGCTTCAATTCAGTGATGAGCTGGATGTATACATATGATTCAAAGACCACGTTGATAACTTGTATCAACATTACATGATGTTCTCAATGCATTCTCAGCATTCACAAGCACCTCCCTGAAAACTTGCTAGGGCTGATAAAATCCTGTAGTCAAGTTTTCAGATATGGATGTCTTTGAGTATTCTTGACGAACTCCAGGTTCATTCATTTTCTAGTATGGACTCAATAAATGTTTTTTCTTCTAGATTTACTTCATTTTATTTCCAGACCAATTAGTTTCCATTTTTTTCAACTTAATATCTATATAATGTACTCCATGGAGCACCTCGCTTAAAACTTGCTAGGGCTCATAATTTCCTATACTTCAGTTTGTCGCCTGAAGGTTTTCCCTCTAAGCCTAGATTAACTAGGAGATATCATGAATGCCATTCTTTTTGTGTTACTAACACATAAAATTAGAACTATATATACACGGACTCAGTCAAGATTTCCACCACTTTTTGATTCTTTGTATTGGGCCATGCCGGCCAGTACTCTAAGATCATAGAGACAATTATGCAGAGAAAAATAGTTTTCCATTTTCAACATAAGATGTTCAGAAAATGACTTCAGCCCTCTGTCAACCTGATCGTCCTTGCTGATGCACCATGGAGCTCCAACAAGGTTTCTGGATGTCCGGATCTTAGGCTCTAAGAATGTTTCTCATGAGAGGCAAAACACGAAGATTCCATTGAAGCTTGAACTTATCTTGAAGAGTGGAATTTATTATCTATTTTAGGCAAAGGCCTTGTGCTATTCTGAGAGAAAGTCATGACTATTCAGTATTCAGATGTGTAATAGAAATTTTATACACAATTGAGCAATGGACGGGACCCATTCGTTTGGAATTTTTATGTTCCATTAACCAAGCAGCCTTCCCGCATCATACAATCTCGCTGTGAAGCTCTAAGTTTCGTCTGCTCCTTGCTAATAAATTACCTTCTTCAGTGTTTTCGAAGACAACATGACGTCCTGAACGACTCAGCCAACCTGTACAAATCATCAGATATCATCATTTTCGACATCGAAACTCCAGCGGGTGAGAATGTAAACCAATCTCTTGAACAGTAGAATTCTGGGTAATAATCTGGGTGAGAACTGGCAGCCTCGATCCCTGACCTTCATCAAGTAATTTTGTTTTATGATGAAGTCAACGTGAGATGCTCCTTCCAGATTGGGAAGTTGCATCTGACGTTGATTTTGTTGAGATTCCACCAGGTCATCCCAATCATCACTCAGCACTGAGCGGGAGATTGAGCTCTTGTCCCGTGCACTCATTCTTCCTGTTTTGAGACTTATCTCTGTTCATGCTTACCACGCTGGCCAGCCTGAGTACGCGCCTGAATTTGCTCACAAAACTGAATCGGCAACCAAGCTCTTCGCTCAACTCTGGTGCAGAGCTAAGTTGATGTTTCCAGACCCCTCTAGCAGGCACTCCATGAATCAGAAACCTGAGGCTGTGCATGTACAAGTGAAACACTTCTTACTTCTATCCTGGTCCTTGATCCTACATCACAAACATTCGACAAAACTCATTCTCAATCTGGCCTTTGGTTTCCGTCAACAGCTGAAAATAAGCTAGCCATGCATTCCAATACTCTGATTACGAGTGTAGTCGGCAGCCACTACCCACGGCAGAGGCAAAGGCGTAGGAGTTTCTTATTTATTTCGCAGAACCTGCTGTTGAATTCCTATCAAAGGAGGCAATCCAATCGTGGATCTAAGATCATTATTTAAAGCAGCTGATAGCTGTGGATTCGTCATCAGCACTACTCCTTTCTCAGGAACCTCCTGCTTTTCACATCTCTATCATTCCATTCTATTCCATTTCGTCGTCCGTGCTATAGCCAAGCGCCACTTACTACTTTTAATCATTTTAAGATGTCTGGCTGCGGAAGCTCTGCTTGTTCTTGCGGCGCTGCCTGCAAGTGCAGCACTGGCAACAGGTCAGTTCAAGTCATGGTTTTCAAGCCAAGATGTAAAGAACAAATAGATTTCTTCGTTGTGCAACTGTCTGTATTTATCTGTAATTCGCGGAAGCTTTTGCTTCAAGTGTGTGACAGGAGCATGTGTTAAGACAAAGTCAATGTAGTTAATGTACACCTTGCAGAAATCCTTCCTCCGCTTTCTGATCAAGAAATCTTCAATTTATGGCCAAAGACCATGGATTTAGTGTGCATCATGAGCATATACATTCGAGAAATTTCCACATTGTGGTTTGAGTTTAGATAGCTAATCTTAAGTTAGAACAAATGTTTCTCTCAGTTCTTTCTAAACTGTGGTTTGCTGATTTTGATAGCTGCTGCCCGATGAGGTCAATGGACACATTCGAGAGCTCCGAGATGAGAGGGTACTTATCATCCCGTCTGTTTCCATATCTTGACCACATTTGCAATTCATGGTTGATTGAATCTGTAATCCTGTTGTTTTGGCTCCTTTCCTCTTTGGTGCTACAGCACTGTACCATCACCGAACAATAATCTAGCAAGCATGACTTCTTGGATTCTAAAGCGATTGATTAATATCTTCTGAATCTGTTGCAAATGATACAGCTTTGAGGGCGCCAATGAAGGATGCAAGTGCGGTGACAAGTGCTCATGCAACCCTTGCAACTGCAAGTGAGAGAGCAGTGTCAAAAATTCCAAATCTTGTGATTTAAATGCTTACAGAAGTCTACTGACAAAACAGGGAGCGGTTTATTTTCGTCAGAATTTGAGGAATTATCCTCGAGATCAATTTAGAATGCTAAGCTCTATTGTATATGTGACGAAGTAAATAAAGTCTGCAGAAGCATCTGCTGGAAGATTTCTGGTGAAAGCCTGGTCTTGAAAACTTACTGCATGCGTGTGAGAGAGAGAGATAAAACGCCGTTGGAGTGGAAAGCAGCTGCTTTTTTTGGCATTTTGTTGATGTTGTATGGCTTTTTCTCTTTGTTTCTATATATTGGTGGGGCGGAAATTAGGGAGTGGGTGTCGGAGAATCGGGGTTAGTCGAGAAAATGACGAGAAAGTTAGGAGAGAGTTATTATTGAGAGAGTTAGGGAATAGCCAAAACGCCGGCGAGTACTAAGTACTGAGCATGAATATGAGTAAACCAATATACTCGAGGTTACAAGCAGTGGTAGTAATCCAGTTGTGGCGGCGTATCTTGGATGTGTTGAGACTCATATCTACCACGCAAAATGCATGGAAAATTGTAGGTAATATAAACATTGAGGTTTTGAATTTCCAGTCTAGTCCTCGTTTTCTTGTAATATACATCTGAGGTCTTCATCTTCTTCTGACATATCTGCTACTTCACCATAATAGATTCAGAAGCGTTCAACGCCTGTGAATCCAAGGTCCTTGGTTTATGTAGAAAACCTCTATTGGTCCACCCCGTCAATCGTAGGCCAACTATCTTGAGCTACTTTATATTTCTCTCAGTGCGAACTTGATTCAGCGTTAGATTAAATTGTACTTCTCTCTGGCTCCCTCAAGTTTGAGAGAGCCAGAGAAGAGAAAAAAAGAAGTTGTCGGCTCCTTATGTAATAACCCACCAAAGGCTAAAACTGCAGTATGGTGGTAAAAAGATCGAACCCACAGGGACAGAGGCAACACACAGAGTAAAAGTGTCACGTTTAACAGACTTTTGTAGAGTTTGAATTCTAGGCGACTGTCACTCCCAGAAATACTGCAGTGCTCGACTCGGAGGCTCGACTCGGAGGAGGATCTCGACTCGGAGGATGCTCGGAGGATGCACGGTACAGCGTGGTCACTCAAAACACACACACACACACACACACACCTGAAACTGGCAAAAGCACAACTCGGAGGTCGGTCAGGACCTCCGCTTCGGATTTCAGGAGGAAAGTGTCTCAAAAGTTCACTCAGAGGTTCTGCAGGTAGTGACTCCCACTCCGGCTTTTACTGCCCTTCCGCCAGGAACTAGCGTAGGGTACCCGGACTGGACTTCCCACTTCGGAACGAAGCCTCTTCATACGCCGTGGACGTCACCCTCGACTCTCACACCAAACGCAGGGAGTGCAGACCCGACTGAGAACTTAACTTAGACACGATCCAGTAACACACACACAACCTGAATTGCAAACCAAGGTTTACACGAAGTAATAAAACTTCACTTTGGCATTCAGGGGAAACTTCCCGTAGGAGTACAATCAGGATATGTCACTCGAAGGAGTAAGGGGGAACTGTTCAAGTCTCTAACTCGCAGCCGGCTCTTAGCATCAGAAATCACCCGCAGGTGCAGATCCGCACTACTCAAGTCTCTAACCGGGTGCTAGCTCTGAACATTCAGCCGAAGGCCTTCAACTACAACATACGGTAACTTCGCTATGCTGCAGTTTCTCTACGTGGTGCCAGGACCAAATGCACAAACACGCCAAGAAAGTGAGTTCCTGATCTGCACTTCCGAAACTGGAAGAGTCCCAAGGCAAAACGCCTTGATCTACTTTATATTCTCAAAGGTCCTAACTAGCACTACGCTATCCTATCTACTCCTCGCAACATCTGCGCGAAACCAAACTATACTACTGCACTCGGCGGATCCGGTGCTGCGCCTCCTGCGCGCCGGACTGCTCCGCTCGTTGTCTCTACCTTGCCAGTCTTCCGACCGGCTGCGCAACCCCAGGCGTCGGAGGGCTGCAGTGACTTCCGACTCTAAGTGCGCCATAGTGTCGCGCGCACCCGACAAGAAGGTTTCTAATTTCCTCGCTACTCGCCGCCGACTCCGACTGTCACCCTCCGTCAATGCCGCCGCCCGAAGCTCGAACTCCCTGAGTGTGATCCTCTCTTGAGCTGCCACCTCCCAATGGGCGTATCCTTTTAGGCAGTGAGTCACCCGCGTCGCCAACTCTTCTCGCGCCCTGCAGCTGCTTTCTACCTCCGCTAGCTGCATTTCTGCTTCCGCACGCTGCGCCCTCAAATCCGAGCACTCGGATTGCAAGTTGCGCAACAACTCCTCATCCTCCTTGCGGGCTCTTTGACTTTCTTCCAAGGCGCGCGTCTGGCGCACAAGCTCTGCTGCTAGGATGCGGTTTTGTCTCCGCTCTTCCTGCAATTCTGACTCGATCTTTGCCCATATTAGCTCGGCCTCCGCCTGGCTTTTCGTCGCCACATCCTCCCTCTACTGTTGCAAGGCTTGGTATAGCTTCTGTGTGACCGCCAGGTGTTGTCGGAGGGCGGTGTTCCTTTCCACATATACTTGGCATGTGAGCACAAAATTGTGCTCACATGTCTTTTTAACCTTGTGAGAGTTAAAGTTTTAGATTTAAGCTCTTGCAAAATTATGCTCGGAGTTTTCTGGAAGTTTTGGTAAGATTAGGAGTTGGTGTAATAGCTAGTAGGCAAAGGTCCGGAACGGGGCTTTCAGGGCAGGGTCTCCGGCGAAGAGCCTTCGGTGAAGTTCCTTCGGGGAAAGGCCTTCGGCGAAACAGTGAAACCCTCATAACGTTTTCAATGTGTGACTCCTTGACTCAGTTAGTGTCTCCTTGGAAAGAGCTCGCAACGCTCGTTCCAACGAGACCAAGAACTCTTCAAACGGATGAGGAATCACTGAGTTGTGAGTGTCGGAAGTTACTGATGGGAAGGGTTGAGGCAAGTCCGGTTGCGAACATCTCCGGCTGCGAACGTCTTCGGCTCCAAGTCTCCGGCTGCGAACGTCTCCGGCTGCGAACGTCTTCGGCACCGGGGGTCTCCGGCTGCGAACATCTTCGGCTTCGGACGACTTCGCGACAACTGCGAGCAGGCCTTCGGCGAACTCGGGGTCGGCGAACTCCGAGCCGGTGAACATCGTGCAAGGGCCATCGGCGAAACAGTAAACTCGGCATATCTTTTTCATTTGTTAACGGTTTGACTTGATTAGGGTCTCGTTGGAAAGAACTCGCGACGCTCGTTCCAACGAGACCAAGAACTCTTCAAACGGATAAGGCGTCACTGAGTTATGAGCGTCGAAAGCGGCAGATAGGGTAGGACAACATCCAACCGGAAGACATCGAACCGGAAGCTATCCAACCGGAAGCTATCTCACCGGAAGATATCCAACCGGAAGCTATCCAACCAGAAGACATCAAACCGGAAAACCCGCCTCCGGAGAACTCGAGGTCGGCGAACTTCGTGCCGGCGCCTTCGGCGAAGGGTAAAACCGGCATAACTTTCTCAATTCGTAACGGTTTGACTCAGTTAGGGTCTCGTTGGAAAGAGCTCGACCTGCTCGTTCCAACGAGCCCACGAACTTGTGAAACAGAGCTAGGGTCTGTGAGTTATGGGTGTCGGGAGTGACTGTTATGGATAAGCAAAGGTGTGGTCGTGCGTCTTCTACGGGTGGATGCCTTCGGCGGTGCGCGGAAGAAGATCCCCTCCGGCGGATATCGGGTGGTCAGGATGTAGAATGTACAGGTGTGGCGGCGGCGGCGGCGTGTAGTCGCGCAGGGGGAGCAGGCAGCTATCCACCATTGCGAGTGGGGCATGCAGGCGGGCTGTGGGTGTCTCGGCCTTGGACTTCGAAGTGGAGAGTTCGGCGTGGGAGCTGAGACCTGGTGGTGTGTTCGGCCTAGTGTGCGAGAGCTTGTAGTGTACCAGTGTGCGAGGGCTGGTGGTGTGCGTGTGTGGAGACGGAAGTGGTGTGCTCGGCCTGGGAGCTGAGATCAGAGTGGAAGACCTGAGAGTGGGAGATGTGAGTGAAGTGAAATCTGAGACTGAAATCTGACAGTTGGGATCTGAATTTGAACTTGAAAAGTGAGAGTTGAATCCGAGAGAGAAATCTGGTGGGGTCTGAAGGTGGGAGCTGAGAAGTCGACATTGAACTTTGAGTAGGAATTGGGAGTGGGACTGGTATCTAGGAAAGCCCACAGCGGCTGTAGTATTGAGGAAGTCACCCAGAGTTGGGTTAGATCTTTATGTAACAAAGAGCTTGTCTGATGCTCTTGCGAAAATAGTAGACAGCAAGGTTATTATTTTCAGTTCTGGATAATTTGTCTGTGAAGGAGCAAGTGTTTATGATCTCATTGTCCTGAATACACTTTGAGTACATGGCTTGAATTCAGCGAAGTTAGATTATGGGAGCTCGAACCCCCACCTGGACTACAACCGCTGAAGGGTGGGAAGGTTCGGCTCACATAAAATGGTGCGTCTGCCGGGAGCCTGATCTTGTAAATGCAGAATAGGACTAGATCGCACAAACCAAACCTGGAGCCAGGATTGGAGAAACCTGTTCGCAGTAGGAAGAAACCTGAGAATAAGGAAATCGAGGAAGAAATTAAACTTGAGATATTTCTGAACGTAGACCCTGTTGATGAGTCTTTGTTAGAAGGTTTAGAGATTGTAGAACCTGACAGTGAGAGGTTGGTGGAGGAATCTGCTAGCATGGCTGACGATGGAGGGAGAGCAGGACCTCCTTCTAGTCCTCCCATAGACCCACTCGTGAGGCCAAGAGGCCTTCCTATTCAGGTTCCACAGAACTTGGCAGCTGTGGTCATGCCACCCAATCTGCCTAAGTTCTATGGGACGAAGGATGAGGATCCTTCAAGGCACATGGAAAGATATGTTGAGAGGCTAGCCAGCTCTCTGATTACAGATCCAGGGTATTTTTTGGTCTGGTTTCCTACTACCCTGGAAGGTGAGGCGTATGAGTGGTATAGGGATCATTCTGAAGGTCATTTTGGGGGATGGGATCAGATGCAAAGGGAGTTCTTGAATGAGTTTAGGCCTGAGGTGGGGCAAGGTTCTGCATTGAGAGCTTTGGCATCGTTAAAACAGGGAAGGGAAGAGGAAATCTCAGCTTACATTAGAAGATTTGATCTGGTTTGTGCGCGTTTTGT